TGCGCGTGTGTATGTGTGTGTTGTGTGTGTATGTATGTTTGTGTGTGTATGTTTGTGTGTATGTTTGTGTGTATTAATATTGACACACACACAACACACACACACACACCCACACACACACACACCCACACACACTCACACACATACACAACACACAAGTACATGTACGTATAAATATAATGTTAAAAAATATTTGAAAATCCTCGTGTTCCCCCTTGCTCCTCATTTACAAAGTCTATTTAAACAAATCTAGAGATCTAAACTCGCACAAAAATTTCTCTACCTCAGCAAATTTGGCATAGGGACTGGTGGCTAAAACAGCTTGGCACGTGCTAAATAGATGTCTTGGCTGCGAATATCGTTCACTTACATCCCTTTATAAAACAGCGTTTCTCAGCCATCTTTTTATTGCAACACGATGATCCAACGACGCTCCATGCCGGATGTTGACAGAGGACGAACCCTTACCTGGCTCCAAGATGGCTCCACGTTTCGAATCGTTGTACGTCGACTTGGGGTATCCCCGTCAGTCAAATAGAAGCTGCAATAACGATGGCGAGCGACCGGAAGGGCCCAGGACAGGCCTGGACTAGGGCTGCTCCGTTTGACCAACGCAGGATCGACCTGTTCATCGTCAGACAGGCCGTGGCGTCATGAACCACCACTGCAAACTTCATCAAGGGCCAACTACGGGTGACAGCCAATGTCCACGAGAGCGTGGAGACGGTGAGGAACCATCTCCGCAAAGCCAGGTTCGCCTCTCGTGTCGCTGCGAGGCACCCAAGGCATACGCCACCCCTCAAAGCAGCTCGCCGGGCGTGGTCTGCTCGCCATTCACAGTGGACCAGGTAGTCTTCTCGAACGAATCCAGATTCTTCCTGCGACACCCAGACAGACGAGCCCACGTCTGGAAGCGCTGAGGAGAGCTGTTCAACCCTGACTGCATTCAGCGGTTGGCGCCCAATGGTGGCGGGTCCGTTCCGGTGGGGTGAGGCTTCTCAGCACATCACAGGAACCCCCCTGTACCATATACAGAGCAAATCCTGCTTCCCCTTGCTGTTCCTCTCCTACAGCAGATTGGACCCCAAGCTGTTCTGCAGGACGACAACGTCACGCCACATCGTGCACGCATCATGGGGGACTTCCTGCAGCAGCGAGGTGTCATCCGCATGGATTGACCAGCTTATAGTCCGGATTTGAATCCAAAAGAGAACATTTGGAATTACTCCAAATATAGTACAGCCTACGGTAAGATGTTGCAGTGGCCCAATTTTGTGAGGCACGTCGACTCCTAGCGCCACTAGCGGCGAGCGTGCGACGGTATGTAAACAAACACGGCGAGAGACTCGCAACGCTCATGCTGTCGGCATTGCTGGCCACTTTTGTTCAGCGATCGGCCGTTCTAATTCCAGAGGAAAAACTAAATAATTGTCTTTCCTCAGATTCCCAAAGGACGAAAAATGGAAAGACAATGTG